CCAAATGAAGCGTTTTTTATGGAGTGGTTCTTCTCCCCCAATCTTCCATTTAATAGGAAGCCAAAATACAAATTTCCCAGATGTTCCTTCTTCAAGTACATAGGTAGGTATATATACAACACTATAAAATCACACACTAACCCACTACTGTATTATAACTACCCATGATTCCACTACAAACTAATAATAATAATAATAATAATAATAACAATAATAATAATAATAATAATAATAATAAAAAATAAATAATAGTAATAATAATAATAACTATTGCAACAGTGTCCCATGATCATGGTTGTATCACAATTCGATACAGAAATGCAGCTAGTTCCTTGGTCACTGAGTAATGATGAGCATAGGGGATCCAGTTGTATGTGGACAACCGATGTAGGATCACATATTTTGAACTTAGGTCAGCACTGTAGATTAAATGTAACTGAGCTGATTGTTGATTGGGCAGTGAGAATAGACTCCTCCAGTAAGAGTCTTGGCAACTTGATCCCAATTCAATTTGTAATATCCTCCCCAGGTTTTGCCTTAAGTCCATAAAAGTTATAGATAACCTCTGGACTGAACTTGTACCATGTTCCTCGGATAAAGACTTTGTAGTGCTTTGGATTGGTTGGATCACTGATTGACTGAGAAAGGTTGCAGTAAACGCACTAATTAATCAGCAGTTTAGTATTTGGCCCTACATTTTCAACAGTTGCCATCAACCCAACCTCTTGAAGTAAGGCGATCACATCACACATAGAGTTTAGTTGATTGACGTCCACATTCCTCTAGACAATTAGTTCTCTTCTTAGCATGGATTCCCATTTGCTCTCCGTTTCTTCATTCAGTAAAACATGAATGAATTGAGGAACTGTCTCAGCTTGATCAAGGTTTTCAACAACCTCAGGAGTAAAACTCCTTTTCTTGTAGGTTTGGAAGAAGTCTTTTTAGTTTATGGAATATGAGCAGGTGCAGCCATGGGTGTTTTTCCCTTTGTTGCATATCTCAAATTCTTGAAGACTTGTTAAACTGGTGGATTTTTCTCTGGATCAGTAGAAATAGGAACCTTTCTTCTATTGTCAGAACAAGTTATCAAGGATGACTCAGTAGATGGATCAACACACTTCTCAGGTTGTCTTTTTCTTTTTATCTATTTTGCTTAAGAACACTCGTTGTTGGTAATAGGAGATTATGGTCTCATCAATGAACTCAATATTCCCAGATTCAACATCAGGTTATGAGACATGAGTTTCCTCAGTAGGATGATCAGTCATTTCCACATATATATTTGAGAAACCCACAATTTAACTTTTACCAAATATCAAAGACACAATTTCAAGAGGCTGAAATGGTACTAGCACAGCTATCTAACATCGCAGAAATGGTACTTGCTATCTAACATCATACTCTAAGATCCCATATTCTCATCATTCGTACAGGTTATATTTCCCAATTCTATAGTTTGCCTGGGTCTAAAAACCATAATGAATGATTAAAAAAAAGAAGAATAAAACACACATGAATCTAAAAGACTAACAACACGTTTAATTCATGGAATATGCTTAGAATGGTATAGAATTCCTATGAGTATGCTTATTCCATCATTTGGTAAGTTTATAAATTCAAGAATATGATATGCTTGAAAATAAATATCTTTTATTATTATTAGGACTATATTATTCATATTATACTAGGACTATATTATTCATATTATACTAGGACTATATTATTCGTGTTAGACTAGGACTCTATCTAGTATCTATATATTCGCTCTCTGTACTCTCAGACATTATTACTAAACACAACACTTTTACATACACTCTCATCTAGTATCAGCTTCCAGGTTTTTTTCCCATGGATGGTCTCGGTCTCCCTGATGATGGCTCTGTTCGATCTTCTGAACGGACCGTTAACGAGACCTACCCTGTGCACATCGGGAACAGCCTCTCATCGGCTCATCACTTTGTCTCTCTGAAATTGACCTCCCGTAATTATCTTTTTTGGCGAACACAAATGCTGCCATTCCTAGAGAGTCAAGGCCTTCTTGGTTTCATCGATGGTAGTATACCGTATCCGGTCGCAGCACCGGTCGCCGTTGCCTCGACCGTCGATAGCCTAGCGACGGCAGGTGAGCTCATAGCCCGGCAGGTGGTTTGGAGGAGGCAAGACAAGGCCATATTGTCTCTCTTAATTTCGTCCCTTTCAGATGAGACAATGCGGTTCGCCATTGGTCGTTCTACTTCGCGGGAACTGTGGCTCACCATCGAACTATCTCTTGCTTATTCCTCGCGTTCTCAGGCGTTGCGGTTGTTCGGTGAGTTACAACCCCTTCGGCAGGGAGACTCTTCCATAACAGATTATATTGGTCGTGCACAACGTTTGGATGATGATCTAGCTCTTACCGGTCGTGATGTTAAGTTAGAAGATCAAAACTTGTACGTCTTTCGTGGCTTACGGTCTGAATTTCATACAGTTCCGCTTGTGGAGGTGGCAGATTTATTGGTATCGCAGGAATGGATCTGCGTTGACAATGGAGTCGGCGGTGTACCGCCGATTGCGATGGTCGCTGGCCGTGGAGGTCCGGTATCAGGCCGCGGTGGCCGTGGCGGTGCGATGCAACAACAAGGTCGCGGTCGAGGCTCGGGCGGCAGGCGTGGCCGTGGACGCGGGCGTGGCTCGGGCACGGGACCACGGTGCCAGATATGTGACAAACAAGGACACGGGGCCATCTCGTGTTGGTATCGTTTCTCAACCCCCCATCGGCACCGCAAGCGAATGTTGCTGTGTCTGGTGAGATTGGTGATCCTAGTGGTCCTCATGAGTGGTTCCTGGACACTGGCGCTACGAATCATGCTACGCCTGATTCATCCTTGATGACATCCGCGACAAGTTATGATGGCCCGGAAACTCTACGAGTCGGTAGTGGTACAGGTTTGCCTATTGTAAATGTTGGTTCCGCTTCGTTAGCTACTAATTCTAAGTATTTTAAGTTCTATGATGTTTTGCATCTCCTCTTCTTTACTGTCTGTTCAGTGCTTTGCGAAAGACAATAATTTTTTCTTTGAGTTTCACCCACTTTATTTCTATGTGAAGGATAATTTGACAAAGAAGGTTCTTTTTAAGGGGCATGCGTCTGGGGGTCTCTACAAGTGGCCTACGTCTTCTGTGTCTCCTGCTCATTTGTTGTTGCACGGTCCTCTTACGTTTGGCACATGCGACTGGGGCATCCTTATTCTAGAGTCTTGCGTCAAATTTTAGTGTCTCCGTCTGTTAGTAAATTCAATTCTAGTTGTCTTCCCAATGTTTGTCCGTCTTGTCAATTAGGAAAATCTTCTCGTTTTCCATTATCTCGTGTTGGAACTACTAGTATGCACCCTTTAGAATTAATTTATTCTGATATTTGGGGCCCTGCGCCGTTACTTTCTACGAATGGCTTTAAATATTTTGTGTTGTTTGTAGATGATTATACACGTTATATGTGGTATTATCCGATGCGTGCTAAATTTGAATTATATGCCATATTCGATAAGTTTCGGTCACTGGTTGAACGTTCCTTTTCTCGCAAGATTATTTCCTTTCAATCTGATTTAGGGGGAGAATATAAAAACATGGTTCCACTCTTTCTCCTCTAGGTATTCATCACATGAAAATCATGTGCGTATACTCACGAGCAGAATGGTCAAGTGGAACGCAGGCATCGTCATGTTGTTGAGACAGTTCTGTCTTTGATGGCTTAGGCATCTGTTCCTTCTCGTTTTTGGGGCTATGCGTTTGAGACTGCTGTTTATCCTATAAATAAAATGCCTACTCGTGTTTTGTCTGATTAGTCTCTGCATTTTCGTTTGCATCGTTCTCCCCCTTCCTACTCCTACTTGCTGGTGTTTGGGTGTTTGTGCTTTCCTGTCCTTCGTCCATATAATCGCAATAAACTCCAGTTTTGTTCGTCTCCCTGTGTATTTCTACGTTGTCCTCTGTCTTATCGTGGCTATCGTTGTTTGGACACTAACACTAACAAGGTTTTTATCTATCGCTACGTGCGTTTCGATGAAACTGTGTTTCCCTTTGTTTCTCATGTTGCATCGTAGGTTGCAAGACCATGTTCCGAACCTTGGGCTACTGCACCGATTGTGACGAGCCGAGGTAGTGGTGTCTCGGCCACGGCTGTTGATGACGTTCGGCAGTCTGATGAGCCCGTCTCAGCTTCTGGCGATGGTGACGATAACGGTCCCGAGCAGTCCGCATCGAGTGAGCGGACTGTCTCGGACAAGCAGGTTGAGCAGCGCAGCAGGCCGCGTGGACGTCCTCGGCGAGTCACTCCTCCTCCTCGGTCGCAAGCTATGAATACTCGTAGCTCGGGTCCGCATCAACATGTCACCTTAACCACTATTTCTACCATAGTGCCTAAGCCCACCTGTTACACTCAGGCAGTCAAATTTCCTGAGTGGCGTGATGCGATAGACGCAGAGTTCAATGCCTTGGTCCATAATCATACGTGGCGTCTTGTTCCGTTTCAACCAGGTATGAATGTTGTTGGTTGCAAATGGGTTTTCAGAACCAAACTAAAGGCCGATGGTTCAATAAAATGTCATAAAGCTAGGTTGGTGGCCAAGGGTTTTAAACAGGTTGCTAGAGAGCACTTTTTTGAGACCTTTAGTCCTGTGGTTAAGCCCACTACGGTACGCATTCTCTTATCTTTAGCTGTATCTCGTGGGTGGACTATTCGCCAGTTGGATATTCACAACGCCTTTTTAAATGGTGAGCTAGCTGAGACTGTTTATATGTGACAACCGCCTAGTTATGAGGACAAGTCATTAACTAATCACATGTGTTTGCTTCAAAAATCTCTATAAGGGCACAAACAGGCTCCGCGTGCTTGGTTCACAAGATTGCATGATTTTCTTGTCTCTGTGGGCTTCTCGCCTTAAAAGACGGATGTGTCTCTTTTTATCTATTCTCGTGACACTATTCATCTTTATTTCGTGGTGTATGTTGATGACATTTTGATTATGGGTTCTGACTCAGACCGTGTTACTACTCTTATTGATAAATTAGCACTGGAGTTTAAGGTTCGTGATATGGGTGTGCCTTCTTTCCTTTTGGGCATTGAAACTGTCCCGTTATCAGCCGGTACGCTTTTAACACAACAACGGTATATGAAGGATATCCTCAAACGTGCTGGCATGGTGGACTGCAAACCAGTAATCTCGCCCGTCTCTTCTGCGAAAATCACCGACGAATTAGTCGCTGTTCCCTATGCCGATTGTAACACCCCAGATTTTTAAGACATTTTAAGCTTATATAATAAAGGTAATATCTCATTACATCCTAAAGTATATCATAAGTGTACGGGGTGCTATGCCACACCTGGGCTAGAGAACCCAGGTGCACAGGCTGTCTAACTAATATCCATTGAAACACAATGCATAATATGGCGCGCAGGCCGAAAAGGGAAACTAATCTACTTTTACGTTCCAGTTCTAGCGCGCTCCAGTGCTCTAGTCCTCTGTGCCTGAAAGCCAAATATATCTGTTCAGCGAGAGATGCTGGTAACCCACTCCAACGCGTTGAAATACAATACATATAGAGATATATATAGATATACGGAAACCATTTTGAGCATGAAGATATATCCTACGAACTCTAGCTTTAAACCCGGGAATGACTCGACAGATAAGGCCAGACACAAGCAACAGTTATAACGGGCATATGCAGTTCACAACAGATAAGGCAGATAAGGCAAAGCATAAACAATGATCATGACCCAACATGAACAATCCCCAATATAAATCCCATAGTCACATCTCCCAAGACACTCGTAGTCACAACTCGTCCATGTCATAGCACATAACACACTTTGTTGGCGCCACAGGACCAATCGCATGCCCATACATGAGGGTCAGCGCATATAGCTCTGACACGGCCCCGCAGCACCCTGCCCCGTATCGCAACATGGAGGGGTCCATCGCAACCGACCGATGAACCGCAGCTCATCATAGTGCTTGATCGCAACCAAACAGTGGACCGCAGCCCAAGAGAATGTCATCTGACCGTATCCAGGAAAAAGGACGAACCGCAGCTCGTATAGAAACGTTTGATCGCAACCAAACGGTGGACCGCAGCCTAAGAGTATCAATCTGACCGCAGCCAGCTTCTGAACCGCAGCTTAGGATAACCAATCCGATCGCAACCGAATTGGGGTAACACACACACATAACACATAGCAAGCACATGCAACCCATATTACACATTGGGAAGGGGGAGAAAGCGCATAACAAAACCTATGCGTGATCAATCACATACTAAGAATAGTCCTAAGGGGTTCATACTCCTTCCACCTAGGTCAACGGGATACCAATTCAACTAGCATGCAATATAATAGACTCATAAACCTACGAACGGTACCCGAAACATCAAACTAGACATAGGCACGATAAACGGGGTCCGCTGGGACAGCACGGGGAACAGGGGAACATCAAACGGGGAAGCCGGGGTCCCAAAGTGGGATAATTTCCAGCGGGTAGCCGGTGGGTGGGGGGCCACCCGCCGGCTGCCCGCCGGTCTTTTACTGTTCTGGGCAGCGGGTCGCCGGCGGGCAGCTGCCCGCCCGTCGGCTACCCGCTGCCGGGCGGTGTTTCACGGCCGTGGGTAGGTGGCGGGTCCCCTACCCCCACTGACTCTTTTCATACAATTTACGCCCCAGGAACCGTTGTGGAACCCGAAACCATGCTTAGACACTTTACAACGCAATTAACGACAACACGTAGACAATTAACGAATCAAATACAAGAAACGAACGGCACATAACCTATCATGCTTTTCTAAATATAATCAACACCCAAACATGTGATTTCCCCACCCGATAATCCAAGAATAAGATCATACGATACAACCTAGGGTTCTAATCACTTTTATATCAACAAGAGTACGGTTCGTTTTCTAATTGCAAGATTCGGTAAGAATAACACATAAACATCAAGAGCATCACACAATTATCAAGAACAACACATAATCATCAAGAACTCCATATAATCATCAAAAATCTCCCCACATCAAGATTATCAAGATCCCTCATGGGATCATCACGTCAAACATCAATAATCATCATCATATCACGCCAATACACAATAATATGGGGGAAACCCTAAGGGGGTATCATAGCTATGAAAATAGGTTTTGTTGAGACATGGGTTACCTCTTAGCCTTAATTAATTCCTTGGCTATGAAGGATCTTTCTTTAAGCTTCCTTGCTTTCTTGATTTCTCCTAAGGGGATTCTTGGAGCTCTTTTGGGGTGGTGGGGCGTTAATCTTGTGGGGAGTTCTAGGTGCCTCTTAAGTCCCCTATTTATATATTTAGGAGTCATAATTAGGAACTAATATTATAGGCTTGCTAATTCTATTCCTTTTGGAACTAAGGATTGGGTTTAGGGGTTGGGTTTATATATGAGGGCCCATGGACTATGGTGGGCCTTTTTCCCTATTAATCATTATAATTTATTCTTTCTCTTGGGCTATTGATTAATTAATTAAATGGTTTTAGGGGTCGTAACACGGGGTGTTACACTCTCCCCCCCTTACAAGGGGCTTCGTCCCCGAAGCCCGGTGTTATAGTCCATCCTTTCACCCCTAGACACCTCGTAGCTCGGCCTCCTGATTAGGGTTGCGGCCTTACGTGTGTCTTGGCTTGGGGTAGGCTGAAATTTTGATGGAGTTGTGATAGAGAAGTTTTCGGTTGTACCTCGGTTTCCTGCGCTGGAACTGGATGCACCGCGGGTGCCCAAGGCGGCCTCGTGTGGTGCGAATCAAGGATGAGAACCCTTCTTCCATGATTAGATTCTGCCGGTCGAGCTGTGCAAGTATGCGTTTGTTGACCGAACCCTCGTCTTGTCCCCTCGGGTTCCCTCCTGGCTGTGGGTGCACTGACGAGTTAGGCCCGTCTTCCTCCTCTTGTCCCTCATTTCCCTCCGTACCTCCGCAATCTTGCATGGCTCGCTTGAGCTTTTTGTTGGAGATGTCCAATCGATCAACCAATTCCCTACGTTCCTCCTCGGGTTTTTGGCAAATTTCCTCGAGGGTGAGATAGTGTCCTCCTTCGGTGTAGTAGATGTCATTGCGGCGGAGGTTTTGGGCATTGAAAACCATGCCATTGGCGGTTTTGACCTTGGTGTGGCTTAGGTCTACCCCCTTTTTTCTCCATGATCCAACTTAGGATCATCCCGTAGGGTAGGCTAGGCCGGTTGTTTGTCTTGCAGAACTCTATGTGCTTTAGCATGAGTGCCGGCAGGTTGAACTTGATTTTATGTTTTAGGAGATACGCAAAGGTGCACTCCAAGCTCCCCACATCCTTGCTCTTGTTATTGGTGGGCAAGAGGCTATCGGTTACAATCATAACCAATATCTTTTGCTCCGCCGATAGCCACTTTCGGTTTGGTCGAGTGGCCGAGGTGAACCCGTCCTCTTTCCCGAGTAAGTACCCGAGATAGTCCTTGTATCCCGTAGTTTGGGTATCAATCCACCCCTTCCGGTCATAGTCAGACACACCCGTGGTGGTCAATTTCAAGAGTTTAGCCAACTGGCCTTCGGAAAGCACAATTTCCTTGCCACGGACCTTGGTGGCGATTTCTATCTTCTCACCCCGTTTGGTGGCCACAAGGTGTTGATAGAACTCCTTCACCAACTCGGGGTATGTATCCCCTTTGATGGTGAGGTATGCATCTAGGAGCCCTTGGTGTTTAAGCATATCGACCAATTCCGGAGAGAATTGGTCGGGTTCAAGACTTTTACCTCCGATCATGGTGTAATCGGCGTTGTTCCATTCCGGGGTGCGGATTCCGAGGGGCTTTTTCGGCATCGTGAATCTCTCTTTGGCGGTGAGAAATTCCGGCAAAATTTCCGGCAGCCTTCCGATGAACCTCCGGCGAACTTTTCCGGCGAGACGACGGGGCTCCGGCGTGTCCTTCCTGGTGGCCGAGCGTGCGGCGATTCGTGGTGCTCCGGTGGAGGATCGGTGATGGGAGGCGACGGCCTTGGCGAGGGAGAGAGGCGGCTTCGGGGTGGTGCGCAGCGAGACAACGGGCGGTGGCCGGGCGGTCTTCGGGTGAGGGCGGCTGGGTGCTGTTGCGGTGGTGCAGCGGCGCGGACTGGCGGGAGGCGGTCGGACGGCGGCGGCGTTCGTGCGGCGGTGGCGTCGAGTGGTTTGAGGGTGGTTGCTACGGTGGACCGGGGGGTTGTGTGGAAGAGAGAAGGAGAGGAGTGGGGAAGAAGAAGGGGAGGAAAAAGGAGGAGAAGGTTTTTTGATTTGGGGTTTTTTTTTGTGGGTTTTAGGAACTTGGGGGGTTTAACAAGGGAGTATCCCCTTAAGGTTTCATGAAACACTCATGGGCTAGCAGTTGAGGCTTTAACTTGTAGAGTGGAAGTCGAAAGTTCCATTCCTAATAATAACATTTAAGTATTTCTTGATGGTGTGGTTTTTGTCTTTTTCCTTGTTTCGTCCTTTAGTGGAGGGAAGGTTGGGTTGATAGTATAACTTGTGTTTTACCTTTGTAGTGGAAATTGGAATTTGATCAAAAATCTTTATTCATAATAATTCCGAAATAGCTAAGCTAAGTAAGTGGTCTTTATGACAAAAGAGGGGGGGGGGGGGGGTGGTTACAAGGGGGTGTGACGGCTTATCCTAGACAGTATTCGTTTACTTGGTTTTCTTCTGCGGGGTCCGTATGGTCCTCGTCTTCCGGGATTGGGTTTCCCTCCCCGAGGTCCTCCTCGTTCCCGAGGTTGGCTTGAGTGTGGCTCATGACAAATACTTTCCCGGGAGCGCCGTAACTCCCTTGATGATCGGTGCCCCCGTGTGGACCCACGGTGGCGGGGCGTGGTCTTTGGGGTCGAGTGCACTGGAAGGCCTTGTGTCCTTCCTCTCCGCAGTTGAAGCATCGCCAGGGATTGCCCGCGCAATCCTTGCCCCTGTGGCTTTTGTTGCATCTCGGGCAAGGGAAGCTTCTTGGATTAGCTTCGTTGTTTCCTAGGGGCGGTCTTTGGTTGGTCGGGTTGTTCGTCCTTGTGCCGGTGTCGTTTCTCATTCTTTTCACTGGCGGTGCCCCACTTCCGGTGTTTCTTCTTCTTATTTGTTCCTGAACTCCGCGTTGGAGTAGTTGGATTCGATAGAGATTCGCGGCACTGGAGTAAGCTTCGTTGAGGGTCCGAGGCCTGCTTACCACTAGCGCCTTCCGAGCTTCGAAGTTGAGGCCCGACACGAATCTCTCTATCTTGGTTACCTCGGTGGGGACTAGCTCTGGTGCGAAGCGTGCCAGCTCGAGGAATCGTTTATGGTATTCTACGACGGTGGTCGTTCCTTGTTTTAGATGAAGGAACTCTTCGTACATGGATGCCTTTACGTGGGTTGGGTAGAATCTCTCTCGTAGTCGTGTCTTGAGGTTCTCCCAATTGAACCCCGGTTCTTGTTGGTAAGTGGGTCCCTCGTGGATCCACCAGAGATCGGCCTCGTGCCCGAAGTAGAACGAGGCTATCTCTACGCGGCGTTCCTCTGGGCATTCTAATACCCCAAAAATCTTGTCAAGGGTTCGGATCCATTCTTCTAGGACCGCGGGATCATCTTCTCCCGAAAACGTGGGTGGTCGGTGATTTGAAACTTGTCGGGCGACGTCTGAGTTTGCGTTTGATGGAGGTGGTGGGGGCCTGTTGTTGCGAAGGGCCGCGTCACTTAGTGCCTGTGCGACTTGTGTCAGTTGTCGTAGGGTTTGGGTCAAGGGGTCGTCTGTGGCGGGCTCTGGAGTTCTAGATTGCCTTCTGTTCGGTGCCATGCTATCGTCTTTCTGGTTAGTGTTTATAAGAACGTTAAATTAGAGTCTGACGCACTTCTTATGAAGTGATAAGTGGGGAAGGGTTTTAGAATGAGGAAGGGTAAAGTGTAGGGAAGTTAGGTGTAGGTTTCACAATCTCACCGCGTGTCTTAAGATTCCTGAGTCCTATGTTCCTAGGTACCTAGAGTTCAAGCCTAATGTCCTAAAGTCCGGTCTTAAGAGTCTTTTCCTAGGGTCAAACTTAGGCTCTGATACCAACTGTAACACCCCAGATTTTTAAGACATTTTAAGCTTATATAATAAAGGTAATATCTCATTACATCCCAAAGTATATCATAAGTGTACGGGGTGCTATGCCACACCTGGGCTAGAGAACCCAGGTGCATAGGCTGTCTAACTAATATCCATTGAAACACAATGCATAATATGGCGCGCAGGCCGAAAAGGGAAACTAATCTACTTTTACGTTCCAGTTCTAGCGCGCTCCAGTGCTCTAGTCCTCTGTGCCTGAAAGCCAAATATATCTGTTCAGCGAGATATGCTGGTAACCCACTCCAACGCGTTGAAATACAATACATATAGAGATATATATAGATATACGGAAACCATTTTGAGCATGAAGATATATCCTACGAACTCTAGCTTTAAAACCGGGAATGACTCGACAGATAAGACCAGACACAAGCAACAGTTATAACGGGCATATGCAGTTCACAACAGATAAGGCAAAGCATAAACAATGATCATGACCCAACATGAACAATTCCCAATATAAATCCCATAGTCACATCTCCCAAGACACTCGTAGTCACAACTCGTCCATGTCACAGCACATAACACACTTTGTTGGCGCCACAGGACCAATCGCATGCCCATACATGAGGGTCAGCGCATATAGCTCTGACACGGCCCCGCAGCACCCTGCCCCGTATCGCAACACGGAGGGGTCGATCGCAACCGACCGAAGAACCACAGCTCATCATAGTGTTTGATCGCAACCAAACAGTGGACCGCAACCCAAGAGAATGTCATCTGACCGCAGCTAGGAAAAAGGACGAACCGCAGCTCGTATAGAAACGTTTGATCGCAACCAAACGGTGGACCGCAGCCCAAGAGTATCAATCTGACCGCAGCCAGCTTCTGAACCGCAGCGCAGGATAACCAATCCGATCGCAACCGAATTGGGGTAACACACACACATAACACATAGCAAGCACATGCAACCCATATTACACATTGGGAAGGGGGAGAAAGCGCATAACAAAACCTATGCGTGATCCATCACATACTAAGAATAGGCCTAAGGGGTTCATACTCCTTCCACCTAGGTCAACGGGATACCAATTCAACTAGCATGCAATATAATAGACTCATAAACCTACGAACGGTACCCGAAACATCAAACTAGACATAGGCACGATAAACGGGGTCCGCTGGGACACCACGGGGAACGGGGGAACATCAAACGGTGAAGCTGGGGTCCCAAAGTGGGATAATTTCCTGCAGGTAGCCGGTGGGTGGGGGGCCACCCGCCGGTCTTTTACTGTTCCGGGTAGCGGGTCGCCGGCGGGCAGCTGCCCGCCCGTCGGCTACCCGCTGCCGGGCGGTGTTTCACGGCCGTGGGTAGGTGGCGGGTCCCCTACCCCCCACTGACTCTTTTCACACACTTTACGCCCCAGGAACCGTTGTGGAACCCGAAACCATGCTTAGACACTTTACAACGCAATTAACGACAACAAGTAGACAATTAACGAATCAAATACAAGAAACAAACGACACATAACCTATCATGCTTTTCTAAATATAATCAACACCCAAACATGCGATTTCCCCACCCGATAATCCAAGAATAAGATCATACGATACAACCTAGGGTTCTAATCACTTTTATATCAACAAGAATACGGTTCGTCTTCTAATTGCAAGATTCGGTAAGAATAACACATAAACATCAAGAGCATCACACAATTATCAAAACAACACATAATCATCAAGAACTCCATATAATCATCAAGAATCTCCCCATATCAAGATTATCAAGATCCCTCATGGGATCATCACGTCAAATATCAATAATCATCATCATATCACGCCAATACACAATAATATGGGGGAAAACCTAAGGGGGAATCATAGCTATGAAAATAGGTTTTGTTGAGACATGGGTTACCTCTTAGCCTTAATTAATTCCTTAGCTATGAAGGATCTTTCTTTAAGCTTCCTTGCTTTTTTGATTTCTCCTAAGGGGATTCTTGGAGCTCTTTTGGGGTGGTGGAGCGTTAATCTTGTGGGGAGTTCTAGGTGCCTCTTAAGTCCCCTATTTATATATTTAGGAGTCCTAATTAGGAACTAATATTATAGGCTTGCTAATTCTATTCCTTTTGGAACTAAGGATTGGGTTTAGGGGTTGGGTTTATATATGAGGGCCCATGGACTATGGTGGGCCTTTTTCCCTAATTAATCATTATAATTTATTATTTCTCTTGGGCTATTGATTAATTAATTAAATGGTTTTAGGGGTCGTAACACGGGGTGTTACACCGATCCTACACAGTATAGGAGTCTTGCAGGTGCTCTCTAGTATCTTATGATAACTCGCCCTGATTTATCTTATGCTGTTAATCTCTTTGTCAGCACAAGCATGCGCCCACTACTACGGACTGGGCCTCTCTTAAAAGAGTCATGCGGTATGCTAAGGGCACCCTGAATCTTGGTCTGCAAATTTCTCGGTCTACATCTATGGATATTCACACCTATTCGGACTCATATTGGGCTGGCGATCCAAATGATCGCAAGTATACTAGTGTCTTTGCTGTGTTCCTGGGTAGTAATCTTATATCTTGGGTATGTCAGAAGCAACAGACTGTGGCACGTTCTTCAACTGAAGCAGAATACAAGGGACTAGCTGATGTATCTGCAGAGGTTACATCGCTTGTTTCCCTGTTAAACGAAATCAGCATCCCTCCTGCATCTCCTCCTCGAATATGGTGTTAAATAGCCTAGGCATACAACCGAACCACCACAATTTATGAGTAGTTATTGGACCTATTCTAATCCTACAAAGCAAGAAGAAATAATCCATACAATAGATTAAAACATACGTAAATATATTATGTCTTCTTACTACTTACTTATGTGCCAATCCAGTGTTTCATGCCCACACGAAGCACATTGAGATTGACTATCATTTTGTTCGTGATAAAGTAGCTATTAAGGGGTTAGATGTGCACTTTATTTCAACCAAGGATCAACTAGCGGATATCTTTACAAAGTCTCTTTCGTCTCTTCATTTTAATTCTCTCCGTGACAAGCTCAATGTTTTGGCTAGTCAACCTTGTGCTTGAGGGGGAGTATTAGGACTATATTATTCATATTAGACAAGGACAATATTATTCGTGTTAGACTAGGACTCTATCTAGTATGTATATATTCGCTCTCTGTACTCTCAGACATTATTACTGAACACAACACTTTTACATACACTCTCATCATTATATAGGGTATTTCTATAATTTGAATGCTTACGTCATTTCTATTTCTAAAACGAACCAAAACCTAAATACAATTCTTAAAACATATTCATTCCAAGAACAAAACAATGGAATATATATAATTCATGTTCTGTATCTTGATTTTCGATTCCCTATTGGATATTATTCTTCTTCCTCCAAACTCAATTACGTAAACCAAAGGCTACTTTGTGTGGAATATTTTTTCCATTTCCATTTTGTATACTTCATACCTTTTCTACATTAAAAACAAATAGACCGAATTGTCTAAATGGATTTTTTTTTTTTGTAGGCCCATCCAATTTCCTCTATCTCCAAATTTCTAACCCTAACCCTTTATATACTCGTTACCATTTCCCCCATCTACCATCCCGGCCTCCCCCTCCCCCTCTCTCTCTCTAAGCACCAAAATCCTCTCCCAGTTTAATCTTCTCTCTCGCTCTCAATATCTCTTAACTCTCGTCTCTCGATTGAAAAACAAGGTTTCCTTCAATCGTCACTGAAACTCCTTAGATTGAGAAGGTAATCTCTAGTCTCATCCCCTTTGCTAGCTATAAGACTTGATTTTTTTTTTTTGTTTTGTTTTTTGTTTTTTTTTGTTTTGTTTTGTTTTGTTTTTTTTTTTTTTGTTTTGCTTCTTTTTTTATTTTGTTTTTATTTTTCCAAGTGTAGATGTATGTTGTCCATTTGAACAACCAACAAAAAAAATATTGTTTTTTGTAAAGAAATTGAAACGGGGAAAATATGGACAAATTTATTTTGAAACATATTTTATTGAATACATTTTCTATTTTTTCTAAATTTTTGATACTTAATACACCCGTATTTACAAACGCGTCCCCAATTAAATACGAGGAAGAGAAAAAAAACACTACTAAAATTCAAATAGCTTTTGCGCTATTTTGATACAATTCTCTCTCTCTCTCTATCTATCTCTATCTCTATCTTTCTCTCTATATCTCTCTTTATATATATACTTCTAAAAAAATTTCAAGTTTTCATTTTCATTAGAAAGCTATTAAATCTGTTCAAATCTATTTATTTATCAATTTATAAAATATGAAACTAATAGACATTAAATTTTTTTCTTCATAAAGCAATAAATATGTAGTGACAATTGATAAAAGTATCAAGTAATATTGTAACTATGTAGGTTGTTATGGCCTTGTGGTTTGGTAGATGGGATAAAGTTAGAAATGACAGTAAAACAAGTAAAAGAAATATGAATGTGATAAATTGGATGATGGGATGATGGAAAGTCAGTAGAGATAGTGGCAAATAGCTACGTGGGAATAATTTTATTTTTTAAAATTCTTATTAGCAGTTAATTAAAAATTAAATATTCAGAATGTGATAAATGGGATGAGGGATAGTAAGTAGAGATAGTGGTGTGGAATGTAGTTCTTGATTGTTAAAAAAAAAAAAGAGTAGAGATAGTGGCAAATAGCTACGTGGGAATAATTTTATTTTTTAAAATTCTTATTAGCAGTTAATTAAAAATTAAATATTCATTTATTCTCATAGATAATTAATTTTTTTTGAGTACTTATAGATAATTAGTTAAAAACAAAATAAATTAATTCTATAATAATATACATACTGAAATTAATCAATGATGTAACACTAGCAATATTTATTGGAATGTTTTTGTAATTTGTATGGCTTTTATTACTTTTGTACTGACATTCAAATTTCTTATGGATAATGTGAATGATATTAGATAATAATTACATTCAAATTTCAAATTTCTTATTCATTTTGTACTGACATTCATATTTTTTAAGGATATGAGTTTGGTATAAATATATAATTAATTTTTATTTCTATTTTCTGATAACAAAAGCTAAGTTTAATCTAAGGCACACAAATAAGATGTCATTCCCTACTCCTAAGCAAAAGCGCCATATGCCACAACCAAATTTGAATCATGATATTATCACAAAAATCCTTAAAAGGCTGTCTGTGAAGTCTCTGCTGCAATTTAGGTGTGTTTCAAAAGCTTGGCGTGATTTAATCTCATCTCCAGAATTTGTCAAATTGCACCTACATTTTCAATCGAAAAAAGATAATTAGGTCATGACTTATAGCACCGCAAATTGGATTAACAAGCAATCATCATTTCGCAAGTTTATTACATATGACCGCTTGGTCTTAATCCCTGAAGGTGGTTTGGAATTGTTGGGTTCTTGTAATGGGCTCCTTTGCTTTCGTGCTAAACCGTATAGAATAGTCATTTGGAACCCATCATAAAATGGAAACATCAAGACAATCCCAGATGTCTGGCAGTTGGGCAACATCAGCATTTTTGGATTTGTGTACGATGAGTGTAATGATGACTATAAGGTTGTTTATGCTTATTATGATGACAATGGTGATGAGACTGCAGTCTTGGTTTATACTTTTAAGCATGGGTCATGGAAAAGAAGTGAAAGAGGATTTACCAGTGCGTTTGTTCATCCAAGAATTGCTGTGTTTGTGAGTGGTAGTCTCAACTGGTGCAACAACAACTTACATGAAAGTGACTGGAATTGGGATATAATTTCTTTTAACTTAACCACTGAAACTGCCAAACCTATGGCATTACCCAGCCATGAACATGCGGCCGCTATTTGTATAAGTGAATCAAGAGGATTGCTTTTTGCAGGTTTTCATCACAAACGTCAAATGGAAGTTTGGGTGATGAATGAGTATGGAGTTGAAGAATCTTGGACTAAACTAGTATGCACTTCAAACTTACCAGTTCATCATCCAGTTTCCCGGGGTTTCGAGAACACTACAAACATGGCTATATGTAATGCTAAACTTGCAATCGCACATTTTTCTGAAAATGGGGATATTCTAATGATGGTTGGACATCAGCTAAAGCTCCATAGGCCTAATGCTAAAGGGGGAAAGAATTTTAATATCCCCTATGGTCTTGGTTATATGGTAACTAGTTACGTGGAGACCCTTGTTTCCCCGGCCATGATTGGTCTGTAAATGATGATAGATGAAGTGGGCTACCGGGCGGCCAACAGCAACAACAACAACAATGATTATTGTGTTATTTATTGGTATTTTAGTGTTGTGAAGTAAATTTTACTAGCCATCGCTGTTGAGAACTATTGATTTGTGTGAATGCAAAAAAGGTAAGCTATCCTAGAAATGATTATAAAAAACGTACAAACACACTGTGGAAAGCTTGAAACTTGAATATGGGGTAAATTTCTTCCATAGAGTGGGGGTTTTAATTTATTGACTATTGACATTTATCAATTCTTTTTCTCAAACTTTTAATTTGACCATATATTGTCTCATGACTATTGATCTTTAACAATTTTCATCATTTACGTACTTTTGATATGACCATAAATGGTCCATTGATAAATGGTTCATCATTTATCAATTCTTTTTCTCAAACTTTTAATTTGACCATATATTGTCTCATGACTATTGATCTTTAACAATTTTCATCATTTACGTACTTTTGATATGACCATAAATGGTCCATTGACTATTAATTTTGTTCTAAATTTAAAATATGAACCAAAATCTAGAACAAAATCAATAGTCAGTGGACTATTTTCTCCTCCAATACCTTCTACCGTTGGAACTTCAAGAACATTCCCGTTAAGTTATGGTATAGAGTGCTTTCCTAATTTAGTCCTTTTTATTGGTTCAGTACCCTATGCAACTTTATCCACAACCTTGGGAAACTGATGAGGTTCTTCTACCCCTCTCTTAGACCCTTAGCTTCCAATTAGTCAGTCACCAGGTTGATAGAGTCCTTGCCAAATTTGCTCTCATTGAAAACGTTCTCAGATGAGATTTGAACATCTTCTTCTGGTTCCTCATCCCCTTCCAGATTCTCCTTTGTCTCCAAAATTTCAATAGTGGCTCCAACTTCTTATGATTTCTCCACTCCTTCCGGAACAATTGTTGGAACATCTACTCCTTTCAGACCAACTTCTTTTGATCTCTCTATTCCTTCCAGAGTAACTTCAGCTTGTGGCTCCCTTCAACCATTGACATGGAAGAATGTCCAGGAGCCACTGTTAGGCTTGCTCATGTTCAGCTCTGGAGAGATGGGTGGCAGCTTCTAGATTTCACCGATCATAATTATCTCTGTTATCGTTGATAGAAAGCCCTTATTCTTTACCTGTTTTCTTCCCAATCAACTTAGAATCTTTTTGGATCAAGAATTCTTCTAAGGGACTAAATTTATAAATTTTAAAGTGCATTTCATCTCCAATTATGTTGTAGACTGCGTCTTCCATTACACGCATATTTATAACACATTCTTAACTATATTTTACTCCATACTTTAGCATATTTTGTGCATAAAGTTCCCCAAATCATGTGTGTATTGAGACTTATTTGTCTGCTTTATTGTCTTAGGCATATGATTGCAGTATATTTCTCAATCAAATAATTACTCGGAGTAACGAGTTATCGATGCACAGGGAAGTGGGGCGTATCAAGCACTAGCTACTAAGTAAGAGAAAT